TTTCAGCTTATGGCTCTTTAGGATAAAGTCAAATTTAACATGGTTTAGAGAAAAATCCTTCTGTTTTGTCATCGCACTGACTCATGACAAATGTCTCTACATCCACATCCTCATTATGTTGTACTTAGTTTGTTTATTTTCCAACTTTCTACAGTATATAACGTCACCCTTTTTTATTAGATTTTTACACATAAAAAAATCACAATAAAGAAGTGTCTATTTTGTTTTTTTAATTTTTTTTCAGGAAATGACAGTGACACTCTGCCATTATTATAAAGAGGTTTATCACACGATCAGTTCAAGAAGTTGATGATATTGATTCAAATAACCCAAATTAATGATTAATTGACTATTGTACGTCCATAAAAGCATTACATGTTTTGTGTTAGGAACAGGCCAAAGAATCCAAGTGCATAAACGGCACATGTTTATAGTCTCCTGATGCTAACAGTGAGGTGTCCACTGTCCTCACTTATAAAGTCCTCTCATGGAGACACACTTCCTCTAGTGCGACTCCCTTCCCCCTGCTGCAGACCGGGCTCTCCAGGGGGCCCAAGCGTTTTGACAGGCCTCTTATCTGGCAGGAAAAGACTCAATCATTAGAGCAACACTCACTGCACAACTTCAAATACAGTCCTTTTCCCTCGGTTTTGTCTCACGCTGTTTGAGATGTCACTGTGGCTTTCTTCTTCGTGCCAGATTTATGTTTTTGAAATGCGGTGGTTGTCAGTGGATGTGTTCCTATAGGTCTAATCAGGAAGAATCATGTTATACCGAAGGATGAAATAATAATGTGCTTTTCTGTCTTGTTCTTGTACTTTTACAGAACCTAAAACATACCCTAATTACGTTCTTATTTTTTTTAATTACTTTATTTTTCATATTACATCATATACATGTATTTATATGCTGACGAAATAAACATAAATAATGCATGTTGCAATACAAAAACCCATATCTTTTTTTATTTTTTTTATAAGTCTATTGATTTTTTAACATTAATTCTACCAAAAGTTTCTCATATCAGTCTCCTTATAGTTGAAAAGTCCCAAAGAGTGATTATTCTTTTGTCAGGGGATAATGACTGGACCATTTTCACTATTTAGATTTCAAAGGACGTCTTCTTTAAGTTTGAAAGTCACATTTTGAGCTTTAGGTCCTGGATACCTGGCCGTATATTAAAAAAAAAAAAAAAAGTTCTGTTGTATGATGTTGTTGTACCACTGTGGTCTCGCACTCCGTTTTCTGCCTTTATATCTGCCTCCAAGTTTTACCCATAGATTAGTTTTGGTAATTCCTCTGTCCAAATTACACTCTTCATTTAAAAAAATAAATAAATAAAACCATAGAATAATAATACTTCTTCTACCTCTGATGGTAGCTTAGGGGTAGGGATGCTTACAGTGTTCACCACATACTGTATGTTCTACTATATATAAATTCACATTTTAAAGTATAAAACGACAAAGTTCATAATTTTTTGTATTTATTTTGAGCAAGTAAGTGGGCATAGAACTATTCGTACAAATCAATCACAAGCAAGTTTGGCACATTTACAACATACAACAAAAAGAGTAATAACAAAAAACACATTTAATTGTATATATTTTGTTGTGTATAGCGTTGTTTTCCATCTGGCTTTGACTCCGCTCAGCTCCTCTCTTTGAACTCTTCCTGTCACATATGTTGTCAGACAGAGCCACACTTCCTGTTTTTTCTATAATGAGTTTATTTACAGATCTAAGAATAGCGTTTCCTTTGGGAGGGCCGGGGTTTGTGCCATGTACTGTCGTGTTTTCCTTCTTTGTGCGTTCATCTTCATACAGTGAGTGTGTCCTGGACTGAACAGACACTTTCATCATGTAACATGTGTTCTTGAGATGGTTTGAGGGATTTGTTCAGATTATTGGAACCAGGAAAAAACTGCTCATTAGCAAAATGCTCAAATCTGTGGGAATATTTTACATGTTTTGCTTTTTGCTGGAAAATATCAAAACAATCAAAATGTTCAAAAGCTGGAATAGTTTATTTATGTGTTTATTTATTTTATTTTTATTTTTCTATTTTATTTATGTTATTTATTTTATTTGTTTTATTTATTTTTTATTTATTTTATTTATTTTATTTATTTTTCTTTATTTTATTTATTTTATTTATTTTATTTATTTTATTTATTTTATTTATTTTGTTTTTATTTTATTTATTTTGTTTTTATTTTATTTATTTTACTTTTATTTATTTATTTTATTTATTGTATTTATTGTATTTATTGTATTTATTTTATTTATTTTATTTATTTTGTTTTTATTTTATTTATTTTACTTTTATTTATTTTATTTATTTTATTTATTTTACAGACATACATAATTGACTTTACATTTGTGCAAGAATGGTCACAATGTAATTCTTAAAACCATTAACAATTTATCAGGTGTAATTTTACTAATACTTAATTTTTTTCAAGGTCAGTTTCTTTGGGTTGAGTTTTTTAGATGCATGTATGTTTATTTTTAAGGCGCCTTTTCTGTGACGATCCCCGTTTTTCACTACCAACTGCTCATACATCTATTCAACAAGAAACAATCAATTAAGTTTAATTTTTTTCTATTTTCATCTGCTGCTCGCTACTGAGGTTTACCACTGTGTCAATCCCAAAGGAGCCCCAGTCAACTCTGAGTCACTCGTCTTGTTTCTTGTAATAAATTGCTTTGGTGACTATTAGACCGATTTTGATTATTATTTATGATATTTAGTATTTCTTTCAAAAAGCTGCCCACATTTTTACACAAGCAGAGAATTACAGAACAAGATTTGAAAGAGGGTTGGTTGAAGCCGACATTCGCTCCCTTCTCACTCATACATCAAAAGACCCAAAACAATACATTGCAACAAAACGGAAGAACAATACATGTAATAAATTTCCTTTTGCTTCTTTGATGTTCAGAATATTGAAAAAACTATCGCACATGAAGTCATATCTGTGGGAAACGAAATGCTCATTTTGAATTATTAGTTATGTTTAATATAAATTCAGTTTTTTCGACCACAAAACCAAATCTATTCACACAATACCGTGGTGTCATTGAGTCTCCTCCCAGTGTAGACGCCATAAAACCCACAAAGAGACCTCTCTATTATGACTCAGCCACAGAATGAAAAATTGGACAGAGAAATCGTCTTTTGTTGTGTCATCTGTAGCGCCCCCTCTCTGTGTGTGTGTGTGTGTGTGTGTGTGTGTGTGTGTGTCGTACAGTACATGGGTGTCAGTCATCAATCAGACTCGGCCCGGACTGTTGAGAGAGCGCTCCCGAAGCCCAACCCTCTGCATTTGATTTGATTTGATCCAATTGTAGCCATCGAGTCTAATCATCCTTCATGTTGCGGTGCAGTGCCACACGCTCGGCTCTGTGTGTGCGGCACCAAACTGTAACCACATTAGACAGGCCCCCGATACCGCTGTTGTTTGTAATCTTCTACTTAAACATGTTCCAATACCTTATGCTAATATTTGGTGCAGCGTTTTGATTTCCCGGCGGTACAGCACAGCCCGAAGACAATATGCAGGTTGACTCTGGTGTATATATGTTTGCCAAGATGTTAGACTTTCTAAAACGCTGCTGAGAATATTGTTTTGGACTCATGATGGTAGTTTGGAGATTTTAGACTTATTTCCTTGTTTTGCTAAATGTAGAGACTTTATACTTGCTTCTATTCATGCTGGAGTTAGAAATGTAATGTAATGCAATTTGACTATAGATTTATTATTATCCATTTATCTTCAGGTATCAAGTTTTATCAAGTTGTTCTTTTTGGTAATTCATTATCATTTATAGACATTGTTCGTTTTTCATGTCATGGACCAATGGCTCCTATTATCGTTGCATTTTCTGTGTTCAAAATGTTTGTGTTTCTGATCTGTCGTTGAGGAATCGACAACGTTGTAAAGTCCACTGTCGTTGTGATTTAGGGCAATACAATATAAAAAAGAAACAAATTGAAATAAACGTTTACAACTGGTTATTTATTCTCGGAGATTCTGGTGTGTCTGTATATTTTATAAAAAACGACTTTGAGAGATCACAAGCCCCCAGAAAATATTGGTCCTCAAAATATTTCGGCTAGTTACATGTAGATATAGTTGGAGCCAAATAAGTATTTTCTTCATCCAACCCCTTTTCAAACTGTGTTTTCCGAATTGAACATCTGTATCTTGTTTCTTTTGTTGTGTTTATAAGTAAACCTACTAATATATTTTTATTATTTATATACCAGTGGGGGCGGGTCCTGGCTCAAAAAATGATGTGCGCTGACATGCTGCAATACCACCCCGGGCCTGTGGGGGTGGACCCGGAATCAGAATTAGCCAATGCTAACATATAGCATCTTCTTACCTCTCGAAACCGTCTTTACAGGATGGTCCAAAAGTAGCTCTTGGTCCAAAGCTCCGTCCACATGTGTGTCAATGCTGAGGGGAGTGTTCTGGACCAGTCTAGTTTAGTCGCTGTGAATTTTTGAAGTCTCTCGTTTAATGAATGGGGCTTGTGCAGCTGACGCATACGCAGATGTGTTTTTCACATTTTCCAGCCTCAGCGGCCATTTTGAAACTGCCCATAGACCGCGGAAGTTGTGGCACATTAGTTAGAACGGCGGAGATAGGCGTGATTACGTTCGCTAATATTTACAGTCTATGATAAATATACATTTGCTGGCAACCATTCACTGATTCTAGTTGAAAATAACCTCTGATTTAAAACACCAGAATCGATATGAATGCAATTTTCATCCTTTTACCGAGCACAGATTTGCTTAATAAACTCTCGTATGTGAAAACACACCATCAGAACCCCTCTCTATATAAATAAAGAGGATTCTTCCGCTTGCTTACCTTGCACTGCGCCTGCACATCTTTCTGCTGATGCATCCAAATGCTTATGACATTATTTCCCTGTTCCCCACATTACGATAATTAGATCTTACATCAGTTGCTCTGCCGTCCACAGACCGGCCAACCTGCTGCTGGACCGGAGCAGCTCGGAGGTGCCGGTGTCCGTGGGCTCTCTGTCGGACTGGATGGACGGCATGAGGACGCTGCCGTGTAAAGAGGCCTTCTCTGGGGTCAGCTACAGCTCCTGCGACACGCTGGCCAAGACCTCCACAGAGTAAGAACACCACACAACAAGATACAAAAAAAAAATAATAATAAATGGTTTCATATATGCAATTATTCATGTCCTTGTATACATTTTTTTTTTTCCTATTTTCGAGTTTGTGTATGTTTTTGTATGTGGGTATCATAATGAGAATCCTGCAATATTAAATTTTTAGTTTTACTTAAAGCTGTGGTTCTTGAATCATGTAATAAAATCTTGTTTGTCCTCGATCAAAAAGCTTGTTCTATCACTTGTTTTCAAATGTTTTTATTTTAGCCGCTTTGAATCCGCTTTTACAGACAGAAAAATTAGCAAGAGAGGATCATCCAAAGTGTCAAATATGTGAAGGGATATTTCTGATTGAGACCGCTGTGAGGCCGATTTGTGGTTCTCTTTGTCTTTCCACCACAATTTTATATTTACAAGACTATTTTTTTGTTGGGGCAAATAAAAGTAAGTTCTATGAATCTACTGAAACAACCACAGAGCTGAATTTAGTTTGAGAAAAGTTATAGTAAAAATCATATGTTTTTCTGCCATATCATATTTTTTTTCGATTTTTTTTTATTTTTTATCATAACACATTTTAGGGATTACTTGAATAAGGTTTCCCTGGAAGTATTGCTATTAATTCTTCATCTAAGAGAGTTACTCATGACTTTTGGGGCCTCATGGTGAAACGCCGTCATCCAATCAGCTCTCATCCCAAATCTCCATATACTGAATCCGACGACTCTTTTTGTAGAACTTTCCAAAAGGTAAAACGTATCCCGATAATACCCCAAGTTATTCTTACAAGATTCTTCATGTAAAAGTAATATGCCATAAACACAACGCGTAATTCATACAAAAAAACCAAAAAACCAAAGTAGGACCACACTAATAATGGTGCAAACGTGTCTGAAAATCAAAATTCAGAGTTATTACAAATTGTGTTAGCGGAAGTTAGCGTGTCAGTTAAAGTTAAAGCATAAAGTATTCTTATAACACAAAGTAGGGAGTAGTGTGAAGAAAAATGAAAGCTCCGAGCTGGTGTCACTGCACATAATCCTAGAGTGAAAACAGCCAGGGCCCCGATGCCAAGTCTAGATTAAATCTCACTGGGAGGTCACAGTCCGTGGCTTTTGCAGTCTGTTAACCTCAATTTTATTTGATCCAAGCAGGAGTTATTTGGTCAGGGCACTATAAAAGAGTAGATAGAGTGTATAGCTTTTGATGTGTGGGATAAATATATGGGATTGTGCAAAAGCCATACGGTCCAAATGAGAACTGCGACGACTATGATGCATCAGTCTGAGAAATGCAGTCATCATTCTACACGGGCCCAGATTGTTCAGATAAAGTGAAAGAGTATGCGCCCGAACTTGGCATGTAAATGTATAGAGAGAAGAAATAGGCAGACGATTAGGACTCATTTCAATCTTTTGACAATCAATCAATATTTATTGCCCTTTGTACGGTACATGGCAACACAAAGCGCATCACACAAAGCACAAATCATCACATGCAGTATAACCAACACCAAAATCACCATTAAAAACACAATTAAAAAATCACACAGGTAGTTAATGTATGATAACATTAAAACCACACAAGGGATTGAAAATAGTAAATAATCACAGTGCATTAAAAATAGCAATATAATATTTCAGTTGTGTGCATAGACAAACAGAACTGTCTTTAACCTGGATTTAAACATTTCCAGAATCTACGACAATGCATGACGTCCGCTTTAGCAACACAAACTCTACCCTCTGTTCATGACTCAATAGTGGCCTAATTACATAGATTACTTTCTCGTCCATAACTTGTCGTTTGATATCATAATCAAAGTCCAATTCCAGTGTTATTTCCTCCCTCCCTCTCTTGTCCTCTGCTGAGCGGCCGCTGCTGCTTAATTGTGTAATCATGTAAGTCTGTAAATAATTGGACATTTGTAATTATTTTGATCAAAGGAGCCATTCTCTGTGACTGTAGCAGTGAGGTGTGCGGTGGGCAGTGCTGAGCCAATCGGTCACTCAGCGGTCCGCCTTTCAATACGTGTTCACAGAAAGTGTTGGAGAAATGAATGTTATGGGTCAGGAATAGTGCTTTTAGAGTAATACAAAAGTTAAAAGTATCAGGTTCTTAGGGTTAGGGCTAGGGTTCCATACCAGACAATATTAGGTTTACATTGTTATCATCTTGTCTGGTATAGAAAAAAACTAATGCATTTTAATTCTACTCTTCAAAGCCTGTGTTTTTAACTTTTTCCCTGCAAATATTATGTGTTGTTTGCCCCAACAGAAAGAGTTTTGTTAAAGTAAAATGTAAATGAAACAGACCACAGTATAATTAATCTTAGTAGAAAATGTGTTTTCATGTGTACGTTTGTATGTACAGTATGGACATTATTTGACATTTTGGGCCGAGAGCTGATTGGCCGAAATGGGGTGGTCCTCTCTTTTTCACTTTTCTGTCTGAAAATGCTGATATAACGACGTGAGACCGACACTAATGTGAAACTTTGTGATGAAATCCAACTCTTTTGAACTGGTTAAGTTGATTTTATCACATGGTTCAATTTGCAGAATGTTCAGATATGGTTTTCATAGTCACAAGATTACGTCGGACTTCTCAAAAACATAAATTGTCAACCCATAAGCTGCACAGTTGTACATGATTAATCTATGTGAATATATGTGTCACATGGTTGACAGAATAAGAATATTCATTTCAGAAATAATGGTATATTTAATGTATCGTGTTAGATTAAGTTTGTCGAGGCTGCAGCAGGCTTTTGCTGAAGGTGACTTGTTCTGCTGAGATTATTGAACATTATCTGAAATCCCCACTGCTTTATTGAACGGCGCATGTGGGGAGTTTCAAAAGGACATTAGAAAAGCAAAGTCAGAAAGTGCACAGAATGGAATAATATGATTCTAGTCATATTGCCTTTATTTGCGTTTAGAGTTTTTGTGAGGACATTTTTAGAAGAAGGATTTGGGTTTTAACGTGAATCATGAAATACTGCTGTTTTAACCTAGTTCCAAATTACAGGGAAGCCCAACAACATGTATTATTGTGGATTTACGGTTTAAAAAAGACAAAAAGTGAATGAGCTGCAGTTCACTTCCTTAAAAAAGTTGTTGTTCACTGGGCAATTGTGGATGTTTCCTGTAAATTTCATCTAAATCCTTTCATGAATCGTTGAGTTATGTTGCTCACAGACAAAGAGGCAAACACCGGTGATCGCTTTGCCTCCCGTCCGGCTGTGATAAAAACAACAAGGTCATTGTTTTATCATGAATCACATTAATATCAAGAATTTAACCAAATGCAAATTATATATATTTAATTGTATAGCACTTTTCAAAAACAATGTGTACAAAGGGCTGCACCGTCAGCATAATAATCTATAAAAGAGTCATGACAAATGTGAGATTCTGGCTTCACCCTCACATACAGTACATCAGAGGTAGATCACGGCTCATTGGTTTCTGGAACAGTAGATTTTGGTTTGATAAAGTGTGAGCACCTCTGATGTAAATTAACGTAGATCTCCCTCCCTTACACACGGCAAAAAAGTAATTTAAAAAATATGTTAAAAAAGCTTAATTTTGGCAAAATGTATAATAATTTGAGCACATTCTGGCTGAGCCTAAAAACGGGATTTGCCAGTGGGAAAAGAAAAAATATCTTGTTTTGAAAATATATAAAAAATTTCTCACTTGGAACGAGAAAATAAAGCCACAGTTCTTGAATTAAGACTAAATGGCTTCGTCCGTTTGGAGAATCTAGTTTTAAGACTGTCAGGATATAATCAAAGTAAGTCAAAAACCACCAAATTCAAGCGATATTACCATGACTTTTATACATTCTTTTACAGTGCAGCTGCTGTCATCCCAATGGGGAGATGGCCAATTATGTCTAATGCCATTTAGAGCATATGTTTAATCAATGATCCACCTAATTCTGTACCTGAAAACAGCGCTGCTTACCCTGCACAACCCCAATCAAGAACAATCGAATCACTCAGGAATATGCTGCATTAAAAATTGGTTTGAGTGGACTGTATTTTAAACTTGAGTAATATTGACTATAGAATAAATGCAACATGTGGAGTAGGTGGAGGTATTGGGACCCCGGTGGCTCCAGCTGCAGGAGGCTTTGGCTGGAGCTCAGAACAGTCCACTTTATTGATTTGCCTTAATCTAGTCCTTATTATTCATCAAAGGAATGTGCTCCATGACCTGAAGCTGTGTCATGATTCGGATGGATGGAGCTGACTCATCTCCAACGGAGATTGTCTTTGGGGAATGCAGCTTTACTAAAATAGCAATGAATCACACTTCTGTTTTCTCCTAAATTCTCAAGTATGAATGTAAAGTCATCCCAGCAGCACAGGTTCACACTCTCTACCCAAATTTCAATTGTATATAAATTATTACTAGTACTATATTCCATGACAGGACTTTTCTCCAGCAGATTTTAAGTTTCCAAAAAGAGAGAGAGGTTGCCCTGTTTGGTGAAATGGGAAAAGTTGACCCTATACACTCTATATCGTAAAAGTCCTTTATTCTAACAATAACATCAAAGCACAAAAATATTTTTCAGTTTTCCTGTGGGAGGGGGCACTTGCTGAACTTATATGTAGAGATTAGACCATACCATGTCCATTATACACAGTTTATGGTCCTGACCCTCAAAGACTTCCATCAGGCCCCAGTGTAGGGCTCCAACTCTCTTCCACGGCATCATTTCTCTCAAATACCTAAATTTCTTCTGCAATGCATTTTTTTCCCCTCAAACATCAGTTAGTTGTTTGCATCTTCATCTGCAAAACTCATTTCATACAATTAGAGAAGGGTTATTATGTCCCACAAAACGCCATGTTCCGGTCCCACCACTGCAACAATGGTTGGAAAGAATGAGTCATAAGTCAAATCGGACATTTGTTTTCTATGAGTAAAGGATCTGCTTAATGCGTATGTGTATTTCTAAGACTTGGGAATACATTTCGACTCTGGCAGAGCGCTGGGACTTAAAGTGAGGGTTGGAGAAATCAAATTGCTTTTCTTTCTCTGTGGAATAACATTAAAACACAATAGATATGATTTACGGCTGGGTCGTGCTTTCACAAATGTCTATAAAACTTCCATCCGTCTAAACTGAAAAAAAACGCATGCCTCCATTTGGACGAACTTAACAGAGAGCTGTTGCAAAAACCACACAAATGCACTGGAAGTAAATGTTGAATGAAATTTTAACATTCCCTTCATCCCCTGTAACCGTTTTAACTTTATTGCATTTATGGGTGTATTTGTAAATCCTCATACCTCCCAGCTCTGCTCTGTTCCTTCTTAAGGCAGGCGTGTCCAAACTCAGGCCCGGGAGCCATTTGCGGCCCTCAGTGTCATTTTATATGGCCCTCTGCCTTGCTAACCCAAAGTAGTCTTTGCGATCATAAACACAAGTTCACTGTGTCATCCATCCAACTTCAGCTCAGCCACTATTGTCATGTTGTAACTCTTTCCAAAGCCTATGTTTGTCTAGAATTCAGTCAATGACTTTATTAGCACATACTTTGTATATATTTTTTCTATTAAGTGATACAATGACATACAAAAGTGATACAATGACATACAAAAGTGAGAATAATTGGTACAACAGCAAAAAAAACATTGAAGCAGATATTTTCATTTGCACTTACTTTACTGATATGGTTTTTGATTGAGTCACAAACCTTAGTTAATGGTGCCACTGAAGCTGGTGAGATGGTAAACATTCAGCCAACTTCAGCTCTGGTCTGGATCATCTTAAAGCTCTGAACAGTCCGATGCCTGTTAAGACAGTTTTTCCGTCCGTGATGTCGGCCCCTGAGCTTAGGCGGCACGGTGGCTGAGCACTCTCGCCTCTCAGCAAGAAGGTCGTGGGTTCGAATCCCGGTCGGAACAGGGCCTTTCTGAGTGGAGTTTGCATGTTCTCCCCGTGTCTGCGTAGGTATCCTCCGGGTGCTCCGGTTTCCCCTACCACAAAAACCGCTTCCGTCAACACCGTGTGTGGAAGGATTGGAACAATGTCTGACTCCGAACATTGTAAAGCGCTTTGGGTGACCTTGGTCCGTAAAATGCGCTATATTTATAAACATTACTTACTTACTTACTGAACTAGTCTGGTGAACTAAAGTGGCCCTCTTACTAAAATGTTTGGACACCCCTGTTTTAAGGCAATCCAATATGAGTTTGTAAATGATCATACCAAGGGTTAAAGCAACCCTCAAGCAACCATTTGTTACCGTGGTCAGATAAGATCAAACTTGAAACTCCGGTGGGGAAATGTAAATATCTTGCTCTTTGCTCTTGACACTTGTATATTGAATGTAAGCGTGTTTAGAAGTGTACGGAAAAGTGTGATTAATGGTGGTGGGCCTGGTGTTTCTCAGTAGAGTCATTCTGACGGAGGTCCACGTCACACCGGCGACTTGTCCCGAGTGGGAGCCGTCCATGGGGATCACCACCCTCTAACAGCAGCTCCACACTGCCCCCACAGGCTGAAGCAGGATGGTGCGTGCGGACGGGAGATCCAGGCTTTATGTTGATGTGAAAATTAAAGGGACAGTTTATTATGTAACAATAGATAGAATGTTTAACACTTTAGGCGCCAACATAGTAGTAAATATAGTAATACATCTTTATTCCAGACTCAAGGTTCTGTTTCATATCAATTTCTTTCTCAGCGCCTAAAGGGTTCATTTGAGAGAATTGTCCATATTGCAACTTAAAAATTGTTCACTATGTTTTAATTACTTGCTTTAGTATTTATTTTCAAGAACAAGTATAGAAACACAAAGGTCCAGGACACAAAAACTAATAATAACAAAAAGAATTGCACAGCATTCTTATCAAACCTATTTTAGAATCCCAGATAAGACGATTGGAATACTGTTTACAAGTTGGCAAAAGTTCTGCCAAAAAGACGCAAAACAGACTAATTTATATGCATTTTCATAATATTTTACAAGACATTATACATATACATTCCATGGCAAAACTCATTCCAGCTCATTCAGCATAATATTAATTAAATTGAGATTTTATCTATATGTTCATACATACTTCACTGTCCTTTTTAATTGCATCTCTTGGATTGGTGTTGCTCTTTGTCTTTAACATTTTAACAACGATTTGCTGGTTTGGCTGCTTAAACATTACTTCTATACATTTAATAAACGTGTCTATTCCAAATTGATTCTTATAAATGTCTCTTGCTAACATTATGGACTCGGTGGCTTCACTGTGCCAACATAACACCACAACTTTGTCTGCGGCTCCACTGCTTTTACTAATGCATACTGTGCGTGTGTCGGGCCCACTTCATCAAATATAATGTGATTTGTGTGTTGTTTTTCCAGCTGTTTGACAAATGTCTTTGTTTAATGAGGCTGACTAACTGTGTGCGTTTGCTGTGAGAACAAGGCAAACATCAGAAGTGCTTTTCTTGTTGTGACGCATGAGATTAAACATGTATATTAGTGATTTAATAAAGTCAAGTCAATACATGTTCGACCCATGTTGCTTCTCCCAATCTTCACAGTGCACACACTTTTGCCAGAGATGGATCAAAGGGAAACAGTTATGGATTATGGAATGGGATATCAGAGAAAAGCAAGTGATGTTGTCCACTTTGAAGTAAATGTCCCAATTAATGTGGGGATCATTTTTCTCTATGTTGTCTATTTCAAAAATGTCAAACATGTTGGCAAATAAGGCCCACAGAATACATTTTAGTGGCTCCTAAACCTGTAAACTTGCAGCTGTGATCATAATAGGGAATATAGCTACAATGGCACGTTATACATAAGTTTAAAGCTAAGATAATAAACGCATCATTCATTTTATTTTAAGGATTGAAGTAAAATAATTATGTGTAGTTTAATCTAAATATGCATATGGCAAGTCAGTCTGCAATACTTAGACCATTACATTATGTTTAGTTTTGGTTAAGTTCAAGCAATACTGAAACCTTTTTGTTCAGAAATATCTCCTAGTATAAAATAAATTACATAATTATATTGATGATGATAATAATAATAATAATATATGTGGAAAAAATTACCTCCAAAACTTAAATATAGAAAAGTATGCACAGATTTAACAAACGATTTTTCCACTATGAATGCAGCTTCTCACCCAAATTTTCCAAGGAAGAAACCAATTACTCCAACATGGTGCTTTCTGACATCAGGCATGAGAAGTTATGGGAGCAGCATTGGGGCAAATATGTGTGATATTTTAGCTTATTAGCTGTATCGTTGCGTGTCTTCCATATAATCTCACATGTCTTGTGTTTGTTTCTCTCTTCAGGGATTTGAAAAAGGTCGGTGTCACTGTGGTCGGTTCGCAAAAGAAGATCGTGAGCAGCCTCAAAGCCCTGGACTCCAGCAGCAAAGACGGCCCAGTGCCTGTTTAAGAAGAGACAAAAACTAACTAACTATGGTCGCTAATAGCACTGCAGTGTGCGAGTGCTTATCCTAACTTGGATAAATGAAACGGAAGATCAAGAACCTTTTGTAAAGACATTGTTTGGTCCTATATCGCAAAGAGTGTTGTCCGTACACTGCTTTGAAAATGCCTTACTGACTAAAAACATGGAACGCCAAGGAGGTCCGAGGGATAACGTCAGGGATGCTTTACGGGGACTGCACGTTCAAAGTCCCCACAAATGGAGTTTTTGTCTATCAGTGAAAATACTGGGGCATACAAAACAGCAGCATCCAGAGGTGGACCTGTTTCTGGACTTTCGAGGCATGAGACTTATCTTCCTACTACCTACATTAACGACGAAAGAACTGCGCTGGACAAGCCATTATTTTTTAATTTTTCTATCTCTAACCTTTGTTGTTTTTTTTGCATTCACCTTAAAAAAGCAATAACTGTGATAATCAAACCCATCACATTTTAGAAGCATCTATCTGCGTGTCACTTTGAGAATATCCCACATCACTTCTGTCAATACTCAGGATGTTGAGAGTCAGTTTGCAAAGTGGGACTATAGACGGAGGCTGTAGGAACGTGTGAATTGACAAAGCCGTGTCGTTAAACCAGCTGTCTCCAGTGGCATTGGGTTGCAAAACTGCGTTAGTAATACAAGCTTGTTTGGGCTTCCTGAATTAGGAAAGAGGCAAACAGCGCTACAATCCGCCATCTTCTGCTTCCATACGAAACCGACAATGGTACTTTTCAGCGGACATTTCTTTTGGAATACATTTAGTCTCTATTATTAACACGACCATGTTTTGCTATGTCTAAAAGGGAGTATATTCTAACCATATTTTAACTCATGATTCATGTGTATTGCAAAAAAAGTTGAGTGCCTCCTGCTTTTGAGTCGGACTTTAACGGAAATAGCATTGATTTCTTTGTTTTTGTTGTTGAAGATTTTGTATTCTAAGCTGCGTCCGTGCAGCTTGTATCATAATTTTATCATTAAAACCAGGGCTGAAAAGGCTCTGGGAGATGCAACACTGTCTGTAAAGATTATTTCAGTGTGTCCAGGATGGGTTTTCCCAAAAGCACCATCAATAACAAGTGATTTTTGTATTGTTTACATTGATAAGGCCTTGCTCGTTTGCATTTTTTTTCACCCCCCGAACCAGCCCAGCAACGGCAGACTCAAAAAGTGACAGTACAAACATTTATTTATTTAATTCAAGACAATAAATCTATAGTTTACAATACAGTCTCAAATCCCACTTGAGTGTTGAGTCTATTAACAGTCGACAAGAATGATTTACCCCACGCTTTTTGGACTCATTTGAAGTATAGTTTTGTCAGCAAAATTCAGTCAAATGAAAGAGAGAATTTGCATTGTTAAAGCTGGGGTACTTAAAAATGAACTATGGTATATAATCCATGTATCTGGTTCCTTGCTCTCAAAAGCTCTCACTAGTTTTCACACGCATGCATTTTTGGCCCCTGTCTCATCTTTGGATCCGTTTTCTATAAGGTTGTAAACAGCAATGGTCTGATTTGTTCTCATAATGTACATTTTGCAATACTGTTTAAATTGCAATATAAATCATTAATATATCTGAAATAAAAAAAAGTTACATACCCCAGCTTTAAAGTGCAGGCATCACGTTACAGCTACAACTCATGTGATTGGATTTCTGGGTGGAACAAATATGGACCTGAAGTATCACTTGATCAAACACAACGGCAATAAATGAAATATTTCCTACCGTACAGTTCGTCAAACCCAATTCTTGTGAAACCCAGCAATATTTTTAACAAACTCACAAAAAAAGAACAAATTGGACCTGACTCAGCCCCAGTGAGGGTATTTGTTTCCGGAGCACTTATCCCACACTTAGCACTTTGAGAGCAGAATGCAGAGGTGCTTTTGGGAGCCCAGGCCTGGTGGTGTCTGCCCCCCCCTCCTAACCCCCGTCCTTCCTGTGGATGCTGCGGCTGCTGCTACGTCTCCTGTACATAATGTAAACCATCTAACAACAGCTACTAGCACTGCAGAGCCCGGTGTACACGGCCATCGCTCTTTGTACAAATGTGTGTATGTATAAAGGAAAGAAATTAAATCGTGCAACATTTTTAATCCAAAACAAAAAATCATCTGTATTATATCTGTATTTTGAATTCTATTTGTCATTTGGATTTTCTTTTCTACAATAAAAAGCAATTATAATGACATTATTATTATTTATTTGCTAACATTATAAGAAACAATGTTGTTGTGTTGTAGCAAACAGTAATTTATGTGTCCGTGCTGTTTTGTTTTGACTTACTTTTACCAACATCCGAGAGCAATACTGTCCAAACCCGTTCATTTTTGTCCGGACTGTGTGAGAGTTTGTGTGCAAATGTAGATGGCCTTGTCTACTAATGTCAAATGATTTGTAGTGAAACATTTATATTTTTATAATAAATATTGGCAAAATATTTTCCAAAAATGGATGGTGACAGAGATGTTCCTGTGTGTTTCTTTGATGAGGTGAAGAGTCCGTCAGTGACAGCAGCGAGACCAGACCACAGCCCAAGGATTAGGACACATCTGCTCCACACACAAAGCACTATTCTGCTCAAGTTCACTCAAACAACTACTACAGACACAAACTCAAAATATATGATGGCTGTAATTCCTCAAGGATTACTGTATATAAAGGTAAAGGTAAAGGTGCACTTTATTTATCCTCTGCATTTGACCCATCCTGATGCTACTAAGGCTTATTTCAGGAGCAGTGGTCGCCGTAGTAACGGCGCCCGGGAACCCATCTCCAAATGTTTGTGCTCGGCTTGGTCAGGACTACCAAAGCTGGAGGATTTAACCTAGTGTACATGTTTTTTAGTGGTAGGGGAAACCGGAGCAGCAGGAGGAAACCTACGCAAGCACGGGGAGAATATTTATATAATATCTCATTTGAAGACCTCACCGTCTTTTTACCGGCTTTAAAAAGGTCACAACCAAGTAATAAAAAACAGCAGCATTTAAGATTTAAAATGTTAACAGCCCCACTACAAACCATCACATAGCACAACACCAGATGAAACAGAGACAAAAATTAACCCCTTTATCAACAATGCAAAGTCAAGGGCAAAAAGTCTTTCAAATATTCTCGCATTATTTTTCTTTTCATAATAATTTCAATACTACAATATACAAAATAAATAAATAATTGATTTAAACTAAATTCCATGACACACTAGTTAAAAAAACACTATTCTAAATGACACAATTGACTGATAATGATAAGGCGTCATTAGTTAGATAGTAGATACAGACTAGTAGATACAGTAGATACACATTTGATCAATATGGGGGAACTTTAACTGATTCCTTCATCCAGCAAGTACACACACTACTTAAAACTGAAAAAAAAAAAAAAATACAACTTATACTTCAGGCGTCAACCTCCCCTTCAGCCTGTTTTCTACAACTAAATTGCTGCTGCCTACAAACCACTTTGTGTTCTGCTCCTTTCACAACATCAAATTCTGACAAACACTTTCATAATGGAGAACAAAAACTGAGATTAAAACTCCTTCAGGGCTTTCAAAATGTGACAGAATGATGCTTGCTGTGGTAACCATGGATACGTGTGTTGCTTCTGTCCTCTCTCATCAGATACAGCGTTTTTTTTATGACATGTCCTGGACGTGGTATGCGTAGAGCGCCAGTGTGAGCCAGAGCAGGCGATAGTCACATATAGGTTTGACATCAAAGCGGGCTCCGGAGCATGTGCTGAGAGTCATAAGTCACACGTCATGGGTTCGAGTGAAGAGCTGGGCCACATGGCGGATCAGTGATAAAAGAAGCCGTCTCACTCTCTCTATTCACTGTTGAATAGAGAATAGAGCCAGAACACTCTCTCTATTCACTGTTGGACTTTATCTGGACTTCAGACAGTGTGTGTGTGTGTGTGTGTGTGTGTGTGTGTGTGTCTGTGTGTGTGTCTGTGTGTGTGTGGACTTTACAGAGACCAGGGCCAGTGCCACATCACAGACCAGCCACACAAACACACCAGGCTTTATGGTTTCATCATGGTCAATGCATCTACTTTTAATATTATTTTGTTTTCATCTGGGCAAAATGAATAAATAAATAAATCAACAAAATGCTAATCTTCGGTTTACTCCTAAATATGTTCAGTTGTGCTTGAAAGTTTACAGAGAACTTATTGTTTTGGACATTTTCTTTCTTTTTTTTTCTCTTTTCTATATTATTGGTAAGAGACACAGTTTTCTAATGTGTGCAGTTGATGCAAGGAAGCCCAGGAAATTACCTGAACTGGAGGTTTTTTGTCAAGTAAGGTGAGCAGCTTTAGTAGTAATCTTTATTAAGTAATCTTTATTTATATACCGCCTTTTCACTGCAGATCTGAGTCTCAAAGCGGTTTACAATTGTTAATATTGGGCAATTGTCTCTCACTCCACACAGAGATGGGAGCGGGGTCGCCAGGACAGGAGGCGCATGCCAGAACTATTGGACATATTTTTAGTGGTAGGGGAAACCGGAGTACCCGGAGGAAACCTACGCAGACACGGGGAGAACATGCAAACTCCACTCAGAAAGGCCCTGGTCCGACCAGGATTCGAACCCAGGACCTTCTTGCTGAGAGGCGAGCGTGCTATCCACTCAGCCACCGTGCCGCCCATACCATATTACAGAAGATAGTGAACATCGACGATAACGACAGACTCCATGATGTCATCAATGTTTGAGCAAATTCACACTATTGAATTAGAATCAGAATCAAACAGGCACATTTGGTGGCCTGCTAAATCAAGACCCCACTCTCCCAAGTTCTCACGGTGACGGAAAACGGAGATACGGCCAAATAAAAAAAATTTGCATGCAAACTTTCCTCCAGTCTGTCTCACTTTAAGCATCCTTACAAGAGAGACTCGACTCGAAAAGTAACAACTAATAACACGAGAATTACAGTAAGATACAAGAAAATACAAGAGTGTATTTGCCATTTGCAGTAAAACCATAGTGGAAAAACTGTACAAGACTTACCCCAGTGTGCACCGAACAGAGAACAGGGCACACCCCAGGGCTCTTGCCACTAAGTAAGTCAGTAAAGTAGTTCGGGATGTATAAGCTTTGCCGAGCTTTATCTGGGAGATAATTTTTGAGAAGTCACAAAGATATACAGATACATGAAAAATGTATTCAATTCGATATATCCATGGTTATGTGAAAATCAATAGATACATTTAGAAAATGAAAAATAAAAGGTGTAGACCCAGCACAAGCTAATTTGATTTAGTTTTCTTCTTTTTTTTCAGTTTTTATAGTCAGGGCTTCACTCAGGTGCCCTCATAAAAAATTATAGCAAGGAGCTGTCAGAAAGCTTCTTCTTCGCTGCATCCAACCACCTGCTCAAAGTTGACGCCAGGGTTTTCTCATTACCATCCTTCTTCAGGTGGAACCAAACACTATTATTAAAATCCTGAATAGAACATCTGATCTGCCAAACAACATGATGAATGCCTTTGGTTCATCTCCACTGCGTCTCTACATTATCTACCCTTTTTTTTTTCTCATTTAAACCCATCTTATCTCTTTCACCAACCGATTTCTGCACACCTGTTTTTTTTCCCCAATCCTTCATCTCATCAAAAAATTGTGAACGTTATTCCCACTATCTGACAGCCGTGAGATAAAACAAAAATCACAGAGCGGTCGGTGGCGCTGTCAGAAATACTGTGTTCATTGTTTCTTGATGCAGAAGGAAAAGTCCCGTGTTCTCTTTGTGAGCACATCTGCATCGAGAACATCTGGATAGTGTCAGTGTTTCAACATGAAGGAGCCCGCCTCTCACTCCGCACCTTCTTTTGTCTCGTACGCACACATTTACTGGCTCTGTCTCACTGTGACACATCTCATCTTCACTGTGCGACAGAAATGAGAGAGAACACGTGACTTCCACTTTGGCATCAGACACGAACGGACTTTAACCAGCAGTAATCAGAAACAAAGTGAGCGGTCAGGAGCCAGGAGGGGTGCGCTTGTTTTGTTCGGAGGAGCTGGGTCGCAGATGTGTGCACTGTGTATGCGAGATTCTTTTATTTACGATGAGGACACATTTTAGGGAGAGGGGTTTTTTTTCTCGCTCTTTCTAAAGCCCTATACAATTTGATATAAGATTAACCACAATAACTCTATACTATTTACAACACAAAACAAATCTTTCTAAGTATAGAATCTCTATCTTTAGCACAATGAGAACAGAAACTCTGACTTTGGCATAAACAAATTCTAGCTTTGGCATAATAAGAAGCAAGGAAAAAGTGCAGAATTATTCCAGTGCAGGTTATATGTAGTTTTATGTATACATCTGTACATGTTATCAGCATGAGGGTGTGGGACCATGTGACTAAGTAAAACAACAGTGGACACATGTTGTTCTACATTGTACATTCTGACATTCATTCATTCATTTTCCACCCCTTTATAACCACCTGCTGATGGTGAGTCCAAAGGAAGATGGCTGCTACGTCAGTGGTGCCACAGCCTCTGTGTTTCAGAGGGAGCTTCAGGCAATCTGGCGTTAAGTGTCTTGCCCAAGGACACAACGACAGCAGACAGTAGTAGTTGGAGTAGGTCCTGTGGTGGGCTTGAACCCACAAACTTCAGCATTATTATTATTGCACAGAAGAGTGAGTAAAGTAAAGTGACAAAGTTTCAAACAGAGACTTGAGGTCAGCGGTGCCTAAATGATCAGAGAGTAAGAGCCAACACCGGGAGCTACACAAGTTGGACGACTGCATTACCATATTTTGGATAATTACTATGATAAGGACATATTATATTTCAGCACAGTGTATAAACTGTGCTGTCTACACATACAATTGTCTTACCTTAATTTACCAATATAATAATTAAACTTTAAACTGTCTGTGTTTGATTTGATGTTTTGCTTTGCCTTGAAAGAAATCCAAAATTTCTATACAAAAATACATAGTGTTTGTAAAAATACACCATATACACTCCCGATTCCATCATGTTTTTCTTATTTCTAAATCCATAAAATAATTTGTTTCATATCACAGCTTCAAGAACATCACACTTTTTACCGCACATTGATAGCACCAATCCTCACGAGGAAATAACATTTATAGTCTGTATGAACATGGCAATTCAACTATTTTAAAAGAAGCAAGATTGGAAAGAGACTACTAATATTTTTTATCAATCCTGAGAGCCAAAGAGCTGCATTCTGAATGGCTGAGAGCCTTTTTCAGACAGATCTATTGATAATGTTGGCTTTGGGATGCAGTGAAAGCAGCCGTGCCATGAGCTAAGACCCTATCCTACTTCACATACAGTTATGGATCTTTTGGCACTGACAGGTGAGCACAGGTACATTTATTTAAAAGTATTCCATAATCATACATTTCCTCTTGTCCACACAGTGCATTAACTCCAGATTCCTCCTCCTTAACCCGCCTTTAAACAAAGGTCTAAAATCATTCTAAACTCTGCATTTGAACATGGGTCCAAAATTGCAGGCCTGCATTGTGAAAAAGGCTATCCTTAATCATAATTTCACTGGTTATTTGTTCTTATTTAATTCCAAAGTAGCGGTGAAGAAGCAGGGGTACTTTGAAAGAGACTTTGCAGATTTCTTCATTGTCTTTACTTTCCTGGTGTGTTTTGTGTGCGTACCGCTTTTCTAAAAGTAGTGTGTGAATAAATGATAGCATTCACGACACAGTGTTAAACTATACGTGCAAAAAGCTCAGGCTCTGGGTTCTTCACACAAGTCCCTCCTGCCTCTTCTATTTGGCTCTTTGATTTCTGCTAAATAAAAGAGCAGGCTCCAGCTGTGTGCAGCTGTTTCCCAGGCCTGCAGCCGCCATCTTGCATTCTCCTAGAGCCCTGTTTAGTTTCCCCCACGGCATGCTGGGAGGATGTCTTCTCATAAAGCGACTTCCTGGGTTCAAAGATCATTAATAAAAGACAAGGATGTGGTGTGTTAATTACAGTGGCAGTGTTTGTCTGTCTCCAAACACGAGTGATGGCGTTCGCACTGGATTTGGGGAACACACGAGACGAGCGTTCGGAGAAGGTCGTTCACGGCGGGAGCTCGGGGCTGTCATAATAGAGTCTGTGCCACTCTCATGGGTCTGTTGTACTTGGCTTTCACGCTGCAGAAGGATGCTCCCAGCTCCCGCCGATCCTTAGTCCAATAAATGCAGTCAGACATGATTGATATGCAAGGCTCCTCAAATAAACCAAACTCATTCTGTTGGCCCGAGGTTGTGTGATGTTGTTTATCCTACAATCTTCAAGAGAGCTGAAAGTTCCATTGAAATACGTTCAAAATATTATCCCTTTAAAGTATGACGGAAGAATCCAAACAAACGGAGATACATGTAAGACTATTACTGATTCTATTGTCTCTACTTTTAGTACATTATGAGGCTGAGGATGATGGCTGCTAGCACATGTGTGTTTATAATGTGGCAGTTAAAAAGCTCAAATAAAAACAAAATAAAACATAAGGCTGTAACTTACAATAAGTACTTTTAATCATTGATAAATCCAGTGACTTTAGACTCTGAAAAAGCTTAAGTGATACAGCTTGAGAATATTCTAAAAGCCCTAACCTATAGTTATAGGCAAAACTATTTTATCATTTTAAAATGTGAGATTTTTCTTTTCATTGATTCATGCATATGTTTGGGTCTTAATCATCAATCTCTTAACATGTTTTAAAGTTTGTACATCAGTTAGCTAGATTTCTGAAATAGATGCAGATTATCCAAAAAATCTTACTTTGACAATTGACATGTGT